ACCAAACCACACCACACCACACCACACCACACCACACCACACCGCACCACACCACACCACACCACCCCACACCACACAAGGCGTGTCGACCGTTGTCCAAAATCACTCTATGCAACAAAAACTACCATAGTCATTTAGGCAACGCCAAAAGCACTATCAGTGATGTTTATAGCTCAGACCTACACGCTAAATTAACTAGTGTCCCGCAAAAAACACTACCATCAGATGTACGTATAGTCTTAGAGTCTTAGGCAATATATATTATACAATCACGCATCATCATCATCATGCAGTGCCAGATCTGCGACAGACGTCGGCGACCATGGCTCTCCATTCATTCCTTTGCTCGGATGCTCTCAAAAAAGCCCCGCTTCCCTGATCTTTCCCTGTTACCCATTTGTTTAGGTTCCCCAAGTATGTTGTTCTGGGCCTTCCCCTGCCTCGCTTGCCCTCAATTTTGCCAGTGAGAGCTAGATGTTCGAGACCATTAAGTCTATTTATGTGTCCCAAAAACTGCATTTGTCGTTTCCTGATTGTTTTTAACATTGAGCGTCCCACGTGGGCTTCATCAAGCACTACCTCACTACAATCACGCAAACCCTAGGCCTACTATTTTCAGCTTCTCACGCCAAATTCACTGCACCTTTATTGTACGATAGTGTTCTGAGCGTGTTACACGGCCCTCCTTGACTAGGTATTTCGACCAATGGTGATTCTCTAAACCTGTCACACCCCCAGTCCGTCATACGCGACGAGGCCCTTGATTGCTTCATGGACCTATCGCAGGCGACGGTCGCGGGCGACTAGAGGTCGCATCGCGGGTAAGGGGTGCCCATTGGGGGGTCGGATCAGGTCGGGGCGGTTTGCGAGCCAGATTGAGGGCTCAAAGCGGCCATCGTGGCACAAACCGATTGCGCCCGAACGGCACGACTCGGTCGCCTCAAAAACAAACGTGTTTGTTTTCAGTTTCAAGCGACCGAGTCGGGTGATCTGCCCCATCCAGCTGTAGTGGGCACCCCGTAAAACGCGTTTGTTTTCAGGCGACGAGTG